AAAATTAAAAAAAAAAAGAATGCATGGGGGGTGCTGGGTAGATGGCTCAGTAGAATAAGCACTTGCCTGGCAAGCGCAAAAGCCCTAGTTCAATCCCTGGTTCCACAAAAAAAAAAAAAAAAGAATGCATTGGGTTTTGTTTGTTTTTATATTTTTTTGGCGGAACTGGGGATGGAACTCGGGCCCTTGAGCTTGCCAGGGAAGCACTTATACCACTGAGCCATCTCCCCGGCCTCAAGAATGCATTGTTTTAAATACTGGAAATTAATTTCTAAAATTCATTTTATATTTCATGCTGTTGCATAGACATACAATGAAAACTTTATTTTTATTTTATTTATTTACTTTTTAATTTAGTGCAGGGTCTACAGGGTCTCACTGCATAGATCAGACTTGTAGTGATTCTCCTGTTTTCAGCTTCCCAATTGCTGGGATTACAGGCATGCACCACCCCTCCCAATCTCAAGTGCAGTCTCAGTGTGCCCCAGGGGCAGGGCCAGCATGGCAAGCCTGGGATCGAACCTCTGAGCCTTGTGTCTGCCTAAGCAGGCGCTTTAATCCACTGAGCTATCTGACCGGCCCTAAAATTTTAATTTTTTTCAAATTTTTATTTATTTGGGACAGTCTCGCTATGCAGCTTGGACTTGTAACGATACTCCTGCCTCAGCCTTCCTAACCCTGGGATTTCAGGCATATACCACCACTCCCGGTTTTGGTGGCCAGCTCAGCACACCCAGGGATCAAACCTGGGTCATTGCATTTCCAAGGCAGGCACTTAGACCACCAAACTATCTCCCCAGGCCCAATTAAAACTTCTTATAATGGCCTTATGTCCTGTGACATTGATTTCACCTACTAAATTTTGGTAGCTGCTTAATAGAGTCCATCTGTATCTACGGAAACGGCCATGTTGCTTTTATACTTTAATAAGATAAATTAGATTGCTGACTTTTTTTGTTATATCAGTCTGATATTCCTTATAAACTGCATGGTTATATAACATGTTTATATGTTGCTGAATTCTGTGTGTGGTTGTGGGAAATGGTATGTAGTCATTTATAAACATTTTTGTCAGGTTTAAGTATTAGGCTTATGTATAAAATGATTTCAAGTTTTGATATCTTTTCAGGAGACAAGATATTGCTTCCATAGCTATTTTAGGGAATGTGATGAAGTTATCAGTCTGGATTTTTCTTTAGAATTGTTTGTTTTCATAGCATATTCAATTTCAGTAATAGGTGTAAATTTACTATTCCTAATTTTTTGTTAATATTTCTTTAAATTTGTTTTTAAGGAGTTTTTCTAGTTAAATGTTTTTGGCAAATTTTTCGTAGTATTATGTTTTTAATGGTTTTGGGATCTTTCAGTAGTAAGCTAATCCATGAATTTTTCATTTCATATACTACATATTTTGGTTCTAGAATTATGGCTAATTCTCATTTTAGTCTTTTTCTTTCTGCATTCATCATGATATTGAACAAACTTAATAACTACTTTAAAGTTCTTACTAATTTCCAACATTTGAGTTTGTGGTATCTTTTGTCTTGATTGCTTTTTCTGTTGGCTGTGGTGGCATTTGATTCTTATAACTAGTAGTTACAGTATATTAGAATTGTACAACTGGATTCAGTTGTCTCCTGAAAAGATTAGAAAGTTGATAAATCAGCTGGATTTAAATTCCAAGTTCTGTATCTTTGCAGTGGATAACAGTTGAAAGCTCTATTTCATTTTTTCAGCCTTTTGTTTATTGCTTTCTTTTAGCCTCTTAAAGTTTTTCCATGCTTTTGTAGTTTGAGAGTCAGCCAGACTACCCTCAAAAATGTTATTTATGAAGGATTTAATTAGGAATTTGTAAGCAGATTTTGAAACTTCATACTTTGCCACTTCTAGGAATTTGCCCTCTTACTGTACTGCCATTCTTCGCACCCCAGACTCCATCTTGACATTCATATAGCCAGATGACTATATCTTTCCACCTGAATTTCAATCCTGTTCCTTCACTCGATACTGGAAAGTATTCATGCCACAAGGAACATAAACACTCTTTCCAGTGTGAGCTTACCTTCAGCCAAGAAATTTTTATATTTTTGCCCGGTGTTTATAATTACCATTAGTAGAAAAGTCATAGTAGAAGATAGTTTGCCATTAATACGAGCATAGCTATTCTCCTGTATTACCTTGAAGCAAGTTTCAGACATTGTATTTCACCTGAAAATATTTAAGTATATATTTATAAAAGAAGTAGACTCTGTAAAAATAAAGAACTATAGCATCATTACCACAATAAACTTCTTCTAGGTATCACATATCTGCTGTTAACTTCTGATTATCCGACACATGCCAGAAGTTACACATACAGTAACTTTAAACATCATGTCAGTTGACAGTGAGAATATGTGGTAATTAAAATAATGTGTTCTTTCCCTATAATCAGGTTCGTGACAACAAAAAGCTAAGAGTCAATGCTGTTATTGCTCCTAGGATTTCACATGCAGAGAAGCCACCTTCAAGATCTCTAAATGAACTAAAGTAAGTCTTCAAAAGAACACAACTAATTTGTATATTTAATAATTATTTTTAATACCTCTTTGTAGAGCAGTATTTTTGTTATTAGCTGTATTCTCCCTTAGTATATCTTCTGAAGTCTAAAATAAGGAAAAATTTAGGCTCAGGAACATAACACATGGTATAGTTTACCATATGATGGTTTTAGGTCAGTATAATATTGAAACAAAACATAAATCATTACTTATAATGTAAAAGTAATTTCCAGAAGGACTAAATGTAAAAGTTGCAATTATAAACAATTGTAAATATCTCAATTCTGGATATAAGTAGACGTTTTTAACATAAACTTGAAGAAAAAATAAGTTGTTTGTAATCATACTGACAAGCAGGTAATTAATACTATTTTACTTACTGTTTATTGACCGATTTTTTAATGTTTCAAGAAAAAATGAAATGAATGCTTTTTTCCCCCCAGACAGTATGGATTTTTTTCTTATTTGCGAGAATTATTTGATGCACCTGAGCCTGTAATGAGTTACCTTTGCTTCCAGTACCACATTCATGAAGTTCCTGTGGGAACTGAAAAAACTAGAGAAAGAATTGAGCGGGTAAGAAAGTACTGAACTATTTCTGAAGCACAGTTTGATTAAAATTTCTCTCAAAGTAAGGCAAAAAATATATTAAAAATTTAAGTGTATTACTGTTTTTATAGGTATGCAGATATTATATTTGTATTTAACATTTGTAATAAGATACAAAATCTTGGCTACTGATGCTATGAAAAATTGATGTGACTTTAACTAGAATAAGAAAATTCTTACACTTTAGGGTAGTTGAATACAGTTAATACCATGGGGCTTGGAATATAGCTCAGTGGTACAGCGTCTGCGTAAATGAAGTTAATATGAAAAACACTCGCATACTTTTAATCTATGTTCAAACATTATATTAATATACTAATATTACTAATATACTAACCATTAAATTCTTATATTCTATATTATCTTTGAAATTAGTCCAGAATGATAGTCTGGGATAAAGAAATATTTTGCTGATCTCCTTAAAGATTATATTTAAGATTTATTGCAGTATATAAATGTTTTTCATAGAATCTTACTTTCTTGACAAGTATAACCACAGAAACTTTTAGTTCCTATATTCTGCAAATTTTATTTGGAATTTTTTTTTAACACTGGTAATCTCTGTCTCTGAACCCCTAGCAAAAGCAGAAACAGAACTCTCCTCGAACACATTTTTCCATAACACCAAACATCTATATTAATACTGCATGTAAATTTCTGGGAAACAAATATAGACCTAACTGCTATTTATAGTGTTGAATTTATGCCTTCATTCATGTAGAAGTTACTGGGACTTGAACCTGAGCAACATTACTAACTTGATTTTTGTTGTGGTAGTTTTTTGTTTTGTTTTACTTTTTGAGACTGAGACTTAACTGTATTGATCAGAATGCCCCTGAACTCACTATAGAGCCAAGGCTGGCCTCAAACTTGCAGCATTCCTCCTATCTCAGCCTCCTGAGTGCTGGGATTACAGGTATGTGCCACCACACCTGGCTTGTACTTGAATTTATGATCCTCCTACCTCAGTCTGCCCAGAGTATTAGGATTAAAAGCATGTACCAAGACACCCAGCCTTTTTTTCCCCAACAATCATTATACAAGTACTCCTAAGAGCATTCATTAGCAGGTCTCTACTTGACTAACAGAAGAGAAAAAATTAGTTTGTTAAATTACTTATAGCAGATTGCATTTATATTTGGTTAAAGTTATTGTGGCAGTTGTTCGTGGAAGCCAAAACTAGAGCCCTCCATATTGCTGTCTTCTGTGCCTTAATTCAGTGAAGTTTAGAAAAGAAAAATAACTTTATGCATTAAATACACTCAAACTTTAAATGATTATTCCCTCTGACTAAATTGGCTGTTGAATTTCTTAGGTTGAGATGTCTTTTTTTGTTATGAATGCCCTTCTCTATTTGTGGTTTAGATCCCATCTTAAACTTATTTTCATGAAATTTTAATAGGCTAAGCTCACATAATCTTTTTTTTTCTTCATAACAATTTTGTTTATTAAATATACACCAATAGTTCTTGTCTCCAGTTCCAACTAGTTAGGAGGCTGAAGCAGGAGGTGAAGGTCAGCCTGGGAAACTTTTTTTTTAGTAAGGGTTTACAGGGTCTCACTGCATAGATCAGACTTGTAGTGATTCTCCTGTTTTCAGCCTCCAAAAGAGCTGGGATTACAGGTGTGCACCACCATACCCAGTCTCAACTACCTTTTCAGTGCGCCCCAGGGGAGGGGCCAGCACGGCTTGCTGGGGATCGAACCCCTGCTTCTGCATCTGTGTAAGCAGGCACTTTACTCTGCTGAGCTATTTGGCTGGCCCTCAGCCTGGGAAACTTTTAGTGAGACTCTTATCTCAAAATTAAAAAAAAAAAAAAATAGCTGTGGTTGTAGCTTAGTAGGATGCTTATCCAACATTTACAAAGCCTTGGTTCAGTTCCCTAGTACTGCAGAAGAAAAACAAAACTAGTTCTCATCCTAGTAATGTTGGTTATGAATTTTTAGAGATTGGGAAAAATGTATCACACCAGCCACTGTTACTGGTTTTTTTGTTTTTTTCTTTCTTTTTTTTTTTTCAGTACTGAGGATTGAACTCAGCACTTCTACACTATATCCCTTGACTGTTTCAGTTTATTATTTTGCGGCAATATCACATTTACTTGCTAAGTTGCCTGCATGGAATCTAAATTTGACTTCTCCTGCCTCAGGCTCCCAGAGTGCTAATATTATAAGTGTGCTCTACCATACCCAGCACAGCAGCTACTCAGAATATACAGATACAAATATAATGTTGTTAAGGTGTTTAGAATCTTTTAGATTATGAAACTTCTTATATAAATTCTGGAAAGAAAAACCTCAAAAAAAAGCAGAAAAAAACCTCTGAAATCTATGGAAATGTTTAAGGTGTTTTAATAGTATAATCCAGGAGAAGAAAGTGTGAAGTACTTCACCTAGTTCAACAGTTCCATCTACTGGGCACCTGGCTTCTGCTGTTTTCCTTTCAATATATAGAATCCCAAGTAGCTCATCAATGAGTATAGCACTTCTGTGAGTGGTTTAGTTTTTTGTTCTCTGTCTCGCTTCTTTATGCTGATTTCTAAAAGAATAACATGAAATTTATCACCTCCCTTTTTAAAGATGTCATTAGGTAGGTCAGAATGAAGTACATGTAGTATATTATCTTCCAAAATTTACTTCGGTTTTTTTTTTTTTTATCCTTTAGCCCTTCCTTTAAAATGTGCATTATGATTTTTATTAGATTGTCATAAATTCTTGCTTTACATTGTAGGTAATACAAGAAACCCAATTAAAACAAGTTTATACAGCAGATGAAAAGTATGTGGTGAAAACTTCTGTTTATTCAAACAAAGTTATTTCTAGTAACACATCCCTCAAAGTAGCCCAGTTTCTTACAGTCACTGTGGATCTAGAACAGAGAAGACAGTTAGAAGAACAGCTAAAGGTTGGTTCAATTATTCAATTCATTGAAAACAAACTGGATTTTAAATACTTTAGAGCTTTATAAAAACATTAACCATTTTGAATATTCCATAGGAAATTAATAGAAAATTGGAAGCAGTGGATTCAGGGTTGATTGCCTTACGTGACACAAACAGACATCTAGAACACACAGACAATGAACTTAGACAAAAGAAGAAGGAGCTTCTCGAAAGAAAAACTAAGAAAAGACAACTGGAACAAAAAATATGTTCCAAATTGGAAAGGTATCTTTTAGCCTTTGGGGAGGGGATGGAGCTAAGAACCGCATGGGAGATTGCAAATTCAACTCACAAGCCATTTTGGGTTTTTTTTGGTTTTCGTTTTGTGGTACTAGGGTTTGAACTTAGGATCTTATGCTTGTCAGACAGGTTCTTATGCCACGGAGCTGTATCCCAGCCCTCACAAACACATTTTGTAGCCGTTCCTCTCCAAAGTTTTAGTTTTACTGCTCAACATATAATTTGGTCCATACTACAAGGAAGGTTATAAAGTGTTATGAGTTGATCTGTTGCAGTCCCTGGTCACATATGCTTTAAATTGAGGAACCAGATAGTTTTTATGGTGTACATATTTGTGTTGGGGGTTACCATGTTGGCCAGAAATGGGGCACACACCTGTATTCCCAGTGCTCAGGAATCCACAACAGGAGAAATACTGCAATTTGAAGGCCAGTCCGAGTGAACTATATATATAACTAGTACAAAAAATGTGTCTCAAGAGAAAAAAGAAAAAGAACAGAATGTTTAACATTTATTGATTTATTTGAAAGTAATAAACCCTTCATATGTTAGTATAAAATGTTTATTAAAATTTTTTCCCCCTTTAGTACCAGGGATCAACCTCAGGACCTTGTGCTTGCCAAATGGGTGCTCATGCCACTGAGCTATATCCCCAGCCCAAAATAATGTACCTTCCAAGCCAGGTGCTATTACTGTAGTCAGGAATTTGAGGCAGAGAATCACAAGTTTGAATCCAGCCTAAGAATATAGCAAGACCTTGTCTCAACATAAAATTAAAGTTTTGAGACTGAGGCAGAAAGATTAATGTGTGTAATATCAACCTGGGCTAGTTCAAGATTCACCTGTACTACATAGCAATATTCTTCCTCAAAAAGCTAGATAGGTAAGTAGGTAGACAGATGGACAGACAGACTAGATAGAATTAAATTTTAAAGTTTGGAATTATAGTTCATTGATTGAGTACTTTGCTTAGCATTTGTCTCGCCCTGGATTCAGTCCCACTAGTGTGGGGAGGGGAGAGTAATATAAAATTTTTTTAAAAATTTTCCTCATAAAATGCATGTAGTGAAGAGATTGATTGTGTTTTATAGTTGAAGTCAGTAGGTTTTCCTATTTGCTTCTGTATTCAATATGTAAAATGTAACTTAAGTATAACCAAGAAAGTCAGGCCTCACACAGATCTGTAGTTTGGAAAGGGGGTATCTTAATACATACTTTTCAGATAATTGTGGGGGTTTTTTGTTATTTTTGAGACAGAATCTTGCTATGTAGTTCAGTCTGGCCTTGAATTTACTATGTGGCCCAGGCTGGCTTCAAACTGTAATCCGCCTGTCTCAGTCTCCTGAGTGCTGGGATTACAGGCAGGCACCACCACCACCCAGAGCTTGGATGTTCTTTAATATTACAGTAGGACTTACTGAAGTGTAGTACATTAAAATTTAATGATAATGTGGAACGTGAAATTGTACCAATGAAATTGTGTACTCTGTTACATTAAAATCTACTGTGCTTTAAATGGATATTTTACTCATGAATCATTTTGTTAAGTCATGCTTTGACCATTTGGATAATACTGGCTCACCAATATTGATGCATTTTATTATATAATGTCAAAGAAGATAAATAATCTCTGATGCTTTGAGAATTAGGAAGCTATCAAGCTCCTAGTGATGAATTACACATTTTCTAAAATTCTAATTTTCATTTAAAAGCTCTTGGGGCTGGGGAGATGGCTCAGTGGAATAAGCACTTCCCTGGCAAGCGCAAGGACCTGAGTTCAATCCCTGGTTCCGCAAAAAAAAAATAAAAAATAAAAGCTGTTATTTTTTTAGCAACAAACATTGTCATTTATTTTCCTTAAAATGACAGGGTCAGGGGCCAGAGAGATAGCTCAGTAGAATTAGCGCTTGCCTGGCAAGCGCAGGGTACTGAGTTCAATCCCCAATATCGCAAAAAAAAAAAAAAAAAAAAGAAAAAGAAAGAAAAGACAGGCTCACTTTGTGCCTTTTGGAGGAAGAGAAATGGCCAAATACCCAAATCTGGATGAAAATAGTTTGCATTCTTTAAAGTAAAAATCATATTCCATAAAAAGGAGTCTAGTCCAACTCCATTCTCGGTTACTGCTATACTTTTTTTTTTATGCAACAAAATCTTCATGTATGTACTTCTATGTTATCACACAGAATATTAAAGAGAGATATACTCAGAATTTGAGGTTTAATAAAATTGGATTGAGATTTAATAAAATTGATAGTATTTACTGCTTTTTATCAAGGACATTCTTAAGTAGCTCATATTTTTAGAAGCTTTTTGAGTGCATAGCAGTGATGAATCTAATGACTTAGTATACTTTCACTATCTTGATTGATTTTAAAGCACTCATATTTTTACTCATTATTACTTTTATACAGTGTACAGTGCAGCTATCTACAGTGGGAAGGACAGTGGCATCTTATTACTCTACCATGAAAATGACTTTTGACCTCACAGATGCTTGAGGTAATTTTAAGCATCTGCAGGAAACTGGACCACATTTATATATCCATTAAATTCAGAATGGTAGATGAGGAAAGCAGAATGTATAGGCAGAAAAATGATCAAATTCATCTCTTTCTGGTTGTTTTTTTTTTTTAATCAAACCTGAACGAATAATAGCGAAGGACAAGGTTTTGATGATTTTCACAAAGTAAAATTGGTGTCTAGGGGTTTATTTATTTCCTTCAGTTGCATCTTCCCTTGTTACAATTAAGATTAAATCTGCTTGGCTGTAATGACCACATATTTCACAGAATTCTATACTAAATGTGAATATTGTTGAAAGTGTTCTCCATAAGGACTAGTAACCTATTACTAGAGCTCAGGTAGCCATTCTCAGAATTGATTATAAGTCATTTTATATTTAGATTTTTTTGTAGAAACTGGAATATGTATGATAGGATAAATATCATTAGGGTGTGAAGACTAAGGAATAGGAACATGGCTTTCACTCAGGAGTTCCCCCATATCCTACCATGTTGTAGCCTAGACCTTTTTGGTTATTGTTGTTCTTTTAACTTCTTCACCTTAGAATAAAGATAAGAAAGATTAGTAATATAGTAAGTCTTGTATAATAAAGGGCATCTCATTGCCTTGAGTAAGGTGTGTTCAATATGACCTATAATTTATGCTCCTAAATAATCTGTAAATTAAATTACATATTTGAGGTATGTTTGGAAATTTTGCTCTTTATTTTTAATCTTTTCTAAGGCAAATAATCACCCATTAACTTTTAATTTAGAAATTAGTAATGTATTTTAAGTCTATTGCAAAATTTTTCTAATTTAGATTCCATAGAATTTTTTTAAGTTTTAAACACAACCTTTATGATGTGACTACTATATTGAACATTGGACCCATTGCCTAAAAGTAACTTTGTCTTCTTTTTGTTGTTGGTTTGGTTTGGTTTGGTTCTGTTTTTGTTTTTGTTTTTGTTTTTGTTTTTGTTTTTGTTTGAGATAGAGTCTCATGCATTTTAGGCTGGCCTTGAGCTCACCTTGTAGCCCAGGCTGCTCTCAGACTTGCAGTGATCCTCCTACCTCAGCCTCCTGAGTGCTGGGATTATAAGAATGTGCCACCATCCTGTTATTTATTTGTTACTGGCAATGGAACTCAGGACCTTTCACTTGCCAGGGGTATATACTATGCAACTTAAGTATCTCCCTGGCCTTGTCTTCACAAAATAATGTTGATTTTTTTTCTTTTGGTGAATGATTTTAGTATCTATTACCGTCCCACTGTCTGATTTCTACATTTATTCACTTCGGTCTTCCAATGGTGACCTGGTTAATGGTCTCTTCCTGACTAGTTCCCTAACCATTTAGTTCATCCAGAACACTGTTGGAACTGTCTGTACTACCTGTCTTCTTTACAGGTTGCATTTGAAAATTATGTTTTCTATCATTACTGTATGAAATTTAATGAAACATTCTTTAGACCAGCTTTCATGACTTCTTAGAATTTTGTTTCCCTCACTTTCCTCTTCTTCATAAAGAGTAATAGTTATGGGCCAAGTACTATACTGTGTTGTGTGTTTTACTTTCTAAAATCTTCTCTACAATTCTACTAGGAAATTACCATTATTATTTGCAACTTATAGATGAACTGAAGCTCAGAAGAACAACTTGGCCAGAGTTCCACTGCTTAATGAGTGGCAAATTCAAAGCTACCATCCCACACCCCTAAGTCACCTTTCTGACTCCATAGCCTGTACCATTACCAAACTGTGCTGGACATATAATATATCTCAAAAATATTTTTGATCCTGATTGATTGCATAAATGATTATTTTATACAACAGCAGGACTAAATATAGCACTAAAAACTTCAGTGATCCTAAGGCTTCACTGAAGCTTCATTGTGTATCACTGATTTTCTTCATCATTCTTTGTGTCATACAGTTTAAAGCTGATGGAGCAGGATACTTGCAACCTTGAAGAGGAAGAACAGAAAGCAAGTAACAAAATCAAAGAAATAAATGTTCAAAAAGCAAAACTTGTTATAGAATTAACAAACTTAGTAAAGGTAAGACATTTAATTGTAGCCATTTCTTAAAAAACTATTAAGAGAAAAAAGTAAACTTCTTTAGAGGACTTCATTAGAGGAATGTCTTGATTAAGCTTTTCTGCTCCTTTAGCTGTGTAAGCAAAAGCTTATTTGGTCGACATTTTCTCTGCAGGTAGAAATAGGTTGAAAACACTCATTCTATTATTTTACCCTGAATGTCCCTCTTAAATACACAGAAAAATACTTTAATTTTTTTCTTTAAATTTTTTTCTTAAAGAACTATGTGAGAGTTATCAGTCAGTAAAAATGTTATTTTTTCATAATTTATCATAAAAATAAACTTTTTATAGTTTTAAAACATAAAAACTAAACTGTTAGGGTTTTATTCCTAGAGCTGTACTTCTTTGCATATACAAAAAGTAAATTTAATTCTTCAAAATACTACGGTGATCTCTGAAAAGAACAAATTAGAATCTGATTATATCGCTGCATCTTCAAAGCTGCGCCTCATAGAGGTAAGATTTTTATCCTTTATTTTTATTTTAAAATTTTATTCTCTAGAGAGGGAAAGGAGATGAGCTAGGAAACATGGCAATGTTAAGCCATGCAGTTATATCTAAAAGATGAGCAAGGCAATGATCCTGAGAATATTCAGAAGATTCTTTAATCTAGGAGTTAATTGGAAAGATTCTCACCCTGACTAACTATA